GACTCACCCCCCACAATGACACAGCACTTACATACCCCCCCCCTCCCTCGCCCCTGCCGTGCACCCCACCCACCACCCTTTGTCTTACAGCCTATTTTCTCCAAAAGACCGATTTTCCTCCCCCCTACAACAGGTTCACCCCCTTACAGTGCATTCTGTGGTGGCCAGGCTCTGCATGAACGATCAACCTCCAATGCATGCGCTTTTTTTTTTCTTTTTTTTTTTATATTTATTATGCATGCGCTTTTCTGAGCACCGCGTGATGGCAATTGGGATGCACGAGGGAAGGTGTAACCACTGTACCCCTCCTGTCCTGGTGTCCTATCTAGACTCCATAGTCTATAAAGTTATAAAGTGTAATTGAAGAAGGTAACCCATCTAGACTCCATAGTCTATAAAGTTATAAACCCAATCATTTACATCTGCTTAGCTAAACAGGTGTAATTGAAACCTCAGGTTAAGCTAAACAGCCTGAGGTCCAATTGAACCTGAGGTTAAGCTAAACAGCCTGAGGTTTAGCTTAACCTGAGGTTTCACACCTGTTTGGCTTAACCTGAGGTTTCACACCTGTTGAGGTTTAGCTACTCAACAGGTTCAATTGAATCTGAGGTTCTCTTGCAACTCATGATTGTGTTTGTGTTTTTTTTCCTGGTTGTCTTGTTTGCCGTTGGTTTCCTGAGGTTTTGCACGAAATTGCCCCTGTTTATTTAGTATCGAAACCTCAGGCTCGCTTGGGCCTGTTTATCCTGTGTGTATTTGTGCTCTTAACTGAGCCTCGCCTCTCTCCTGCTTCGTTGTTCACATGCCCTTGCCCTTCCGCAGAACACAAAACACCCTGATAACGAATGTGTACGGATTATTTTTCCGGTCCGGTGCAGGCAAAATGAGGGTGGGCTGTGCTGCGGAAAAGCCCCTAGTAGTGGTCGTATTTTGATTTTTTTTATTTCTTTTTTAAAAGGGCGATGGCCTTGAGGTATTATCATCGGACTAACCGGTGGCGAAGTGCACGCTGTGGGTATCCGTCTTTCGATTCCGTTCAACTTGTGACCAGCGGGCGCATCTTCGTGGTGGGCGCTTCTTCACCTATGTCGTGTGCGCTGCCCTGTGGAAGCGTGGAGCAGCGGGCGCGTCTTCGGCTGCGCCGTGCGTCATCGCCTGTGCCGTCGTACACGAGCGGCCGCATCTTCGGCACCGGCGTGCGTCGTCAAAGTGGCGGTTTTCAGCACCGGGCGTTTGTTTGGCGGTTGTGGCAGGCGTCTAGCTATGGAGAGCACGGGGTTCTTGGATATGGACGTTCGCGGGCGCGGGCAGGGTCTTCGAGATGACGAAATCGAGGCGGTGGCGATGGCCGTGACTGCCGTCGTCGTGAACACGATGCGCGGTGACCCGTCCTCGTCACGCGACGCGCTGGTGGAGCTCCGGAAACGACAAGCGCTGTTGCAGCGCATTGGCGAAGCGCCAGATTGCGTGGCCACGTGTCAGGCAGTCATCCAGTTGTGCGCCGTGCTGTCTTCTGGCGTTTTACCGCGGGAGATTCCGCGCTGGTGGATTAATCGATGGACTGGCGGAACATGGGAGGACCTCCGCCTGTGTGACGACGCGACGGACGAGTACTACCGCCAAAAGTTGCGCATGTCGATGGCCATGTTCAGGCAGATCGTGGCCGCGTGCGCCGCATACGTGGACAAGAAGGTGACGCACTATAGGATGCCATTGCCGGTGGAGCAGGTCATCGCGTTCGCGCTGTACAGGTGGGCGTCAGGAGAGACGTACGAGAGCGGCACTTCTGCCTTCGGCATCGGGAGAGCAACTGGACTGCAGGCCATCTGCGACGTCACTTCGGCACTGCTGCAGGCGTACCCAGACGCGATAAAGTGGCTAGTGGGCCGTAGACGTGCGCAGATTCTGCGCGCTTTCCGTGACAAGGGTTTCCCTAACTGCTTCGGCGCAATCGACTGCACACACATCTTCATTGACAAGCCCGCCGGCGCACCATCTGCCAACTAGTACAACCGCAAACAGAAGTTTTCCGTGCAAGCGCAGGTGGTAGTGGATTTGGATCTGCGGATCATGGATGTCCACATCGAATACCCGGGAAGCGTGCACGACGTCCGTGTCCTGCACAATTCCCAGCTGTGGAGGCGTGCACAAGCTGGCGAGCTGTTCGACGCACCTCCGGTGAGTCTGCCGCACGGTGTCGTCACGCGAGGTTTTACCTGCTAGGCGACAACGGTTATCCTGTTGTCTGCCCCTGGATCGTGCAGGCGTATGGAGGAATCGACCAAGGTCCTGAGGAGGAGCGGTTTGACACGCGGCAGAAGGTGGCGCGGGGGTGTGTGGAGAGAGCTTTCGGGCGGCTGAAGTGCATGTGGCGTCTTTTCTTGCGCACCCACAAGACGAACCTGGATACCTTGCCGCAGCAATTCGTGGCAGTGTGCACTCTGCACAACATCCTCCTAGACACCGGGATCGACTTCGATGAAAACCTGTTGTGGGAGGTGGATGAGAATGGTGTGCGCCGGAGAGTGGACTTGGGCATTGTGGGGAACGGCGCGGGCGAGCAGCAATGTTACACGAACGTCGACGGGGACTTGTTGCGTGACGCTCTTCGAGACCGGCTGGCTTTGATGTAGGAGCACTTAGACGCGTGGTGGGGGTTTGGTGCGTGTGTGTGTAGGGCGTGTGTGTGTCGGGGGTGTCAGGATTGCGGACGTGGGTCGGTGCGATCAGTAGGAGGGTTCATATTTTGACGTGGTCCATGGCCCGCGGTCGTCGTCAGCGAAGTAGCTCTGTAGAGCGGACGGATGCATGGTCGTCGGTGATGATTTCGTTTGCTGTGTTCGTCGTGTGGAGGGTTGCGTGGTTCGCACGTACGTGCGAACATTTAATATTGGAACAACCTTTTTTTTCCCCTGCTGTCAGTCGCTTCAAATGTTTTTTTTTTTTTTTTTTTTTTTTTTTGATTGGGTTGAGCTTCCAGCTGCCATTCGTATGTTGTTCTTTTGTTTGGCTCCTCAGTTTTATGTGTTTCATGAAATCTTCTTCGTTTTAGGACGAGTCTTTGTTTTTCTTTTTTTTTTCTTGCAATGTTTTTACAATTTTTTTTGTTTGTCTCAATTATTACGTCGTCAGTTTGTCTATCACGGTCTTTTTCGTGTGCTGTTGGTCGACCTCATACAACGATCTTTTTCGTCAGTTCGTCTGTCACGATCTTTTTTGTGAGCTTCACAAAATGCTGTCGAAAACATTCATGATAGTTGGTCGACCTCATACAACGCATGCAAAGTGCATTTCAGAAACGTCGTCTTCGGTTGTGTGCATGCATGCGAGGCCAACATCTTTTGATCATCCATCGCTGAGAGGATAACAACGGTGCGAAGGTGGAGGGCAGACAAACAAAGAAGACTAAAGAAAAGGTGCGCTGAAAGCGCTTTCGAATTGCATGTCGATCGAACTGCAATGATAAACACAAAATACATTGAGCAGACAAACAAAGAAGAGAAAAGAAAAGATGCGCTGAAAGCGCTTGCGATTTGCTTGTCGACCCAATTGGGATGATAAACACAAAACACACGAGTGTCTTTAACGTACCCGTCGTCGACTATGACGACCTGCACACTACACATCTGCACTAAACGATGCACAAACGAAATCAACCAATCAACCAGGTTTCGCCGCACTGCCGACGCGCTAAGACCCCCCCCCACCCCCCTCCGAGGTGACGAAAGCGCTATAAAGTCGGTCGCATGCAAAGAGGCAACTGCATGACCTGCCACGTGTCCACTCGCCCGCGTTCACACAACAACAAGCCCCCCCCCGGATACCTACCCACTCACCCGCCCACGCGTACCGCCGACCTCGCTCCCCTCTACGCGTTACCGTTGTCGTCGTCGTCGTTGTCATCATCGGCGGGACCCGAACCCAACCAATCGAGCTTCTTAGCTTCCTCCGGCCCGTCAATCCCTGCGTCATGTCCGAACACAATATCGCGGTCTGCCCAACGAGGAAGGTAGTCGGGGTGCTCTCCAAACGTGGCGTTTGCCTTCCTTTGCCTTTCCGTGACGGCTTTCACGGCGAGGCGAATGGATCGACGATGGTCGAACGACCGATGCATGGACGCCACGAGTGTGGGCTTCGACACTAGCGTCGCGAAGTGGAAAGCTTCGAAGTGGCTGCGCGGATCATCTCCCGATATGCGCATTATCCACATGCACGCTGCCAACAACAGTCTAAAGCGGTCAGCCACCCGGCAAAGACGACCGTGCGAGATGAACTCGCCGTCGATGACCGCCCCCATTTGCACCGCCGCCCGGAATGCATGCGCGACGCAGATGATGGTGGACTCCTGGTACTCCGCCATGTCATCGTCGTCCGGTCTGTTCTCGACTTTCACGCCCGCAAACCACAGTGGCAAGTCCATGGAGAGATCTATTGTGTGTGCGCAAACCGCCGGGCTGACGACGTTGCACCACTCCTCGCCGTACCACATAGCTCACGCTATGTCCGGCGCCACGGACTCCAGGGCGTACTTGAATGCAAGATTGTAACCCCTCGGGAGGTTCCAAGACTTGAAAACCCAGCCGTGCAATACGCGGAGAGCGATTTTCTCCACTTCCGACGCGCGGAGGTCGCTTGTTGCAGCTGCGACGGGTCGGCGATCCTGGCTAACAGCGTGCTGGATTTGGGCATCACAACGCTCCGAGGGATCGCAGGCGGTGGAAGTTCGCTGGCGATGGCGACGAAGTACTCTCTTGTCTCGTGTACGATGTTGTAGAGTCTTCGCCCCTCCCCCGTCGTCCAGAAAGGTTTGTCGTCGACCCAAAGGACGGCACGGTCTATGAGGTCATTTGTCAACACTCCCCTGCGCGGCCTGCTCGAACCAGCTTCGTCGCCCTCCCGATCACTCCTCTTCTCTCCACGCACGTCGTCCCTCGCCATCGCCACAACTGCTCCCTCCTCTCTCGCCGCCGGAACTTGGGGCGCACTGCCTGAAACACCCGCGACCGCGCCCGCCGCACCTGCCGCCTCAACCCCAACTGCGCCCGCGTGCGCCGTGACTACCCCACCGCCGCCTCGTTGGACGGACCCTCCTTCAGCAGCCGTGTTGCGACGACGTGGCGCAGCCGTGGTGGCGGGCAGCCTACCCGTCACTGCCTTTTCTCCAGCGAGAGCGTGGCTCGAAGCTGTCGGCGGCGGGGTGGCTGCTGTGTGACTGCGCAGGAGGCGTCCTTCCAAGGGCTCGTCATCGTCGTCACCAACATCGTCGTCACCAACATCGTCGACGTGAGCGTCGTCAGTCCGCCTGTCACGGGCGCGCACTTGCTTCGTCTCGGGTGGAGGGGTCATCAGCCTTTTCGAAGCACTGTGATTAGATTATCGTTGCCCTCCACTCTCCCGAACTCCAGATGAAGTCGTCTGTTCCTGATCTTCGTCAGTCACGAAGTCGTCGTCGTCGTCGCCCCCCACTTCTGCCGCCCGACCTTGCGCTCCTCCAAGAGGGACCCTTGTCGACGCATCGTCCGACCGCAGCCTCTTCGCCTTCGAGACATGCCTCCGACCTTTTCGAGTCACTTGGCTGTCGTCAGGCAGTCCTTCGCGCTTCTTCCCATGGCCCGCCCCTCGCGTAGGCATGTTCCCTCGCGACCCGTGTAGGCGAGCCACGCGACCCGATGTGAAGACCACCACGTGTCCACTTGCCCGCCGTTAAAAGCCTGCCAGTTGGCAGATCTGACGACGACAATGACTCCCGCGGCGGACTGCCATGACGAAGAAGGAAAGCCGCACGATGCAAAAGATCTGCCAACCGAAGGGAGAAGAGGTCGACTTGCGCGTGGCAGACAGAAGGACGACGACGGCGGCGAGTGCGCTCGACGGGGAATAGGTTGGAGATGACAGGAGAGAGAAGATCGTCGACGACGGCGCTCCGCGACGAGAAGACTCACGGGCGACGTCCTCGTGCACGGCAGAAGGACGGCAACTCCCATGGCCTGGCGTGAACAGCGTGCGCGGCGGGCTTCAGCACAGGTGCGCGCAGATGTAGAGATGGTCGTGCGGCTTCGGGTGCGCAGATTTGAAGTGATCTGATCGCGGTGGACCGCCCGCGACGCAGCGCCCCACTTCGTGGGAAACTGCCTCGCCAAGGGTGGCACGCACGACCGCCCAGGCTATACGTGGCGTGTCATTTCGCTCTTCCCCGACGCACGAAATGACCCTTCTGCGTCCCTGGAGACGAGCGTCACGTCACTCGCAATGGAGCTAAAAGAGAAACCAAGCACCACCCGCCCCGCACGTCGAAAATAAACACCCTACCGATCACTATGACCCACGTCCGCAATTCCTACCCCC